TCAAGCACTTTGGATTTTGATGTGAAGGATCTTAAACCTACACTACATCAGGATACTTTCTTGTAAGTCTCACCTTTTCTGTCCCAGTAAGTTTTTAAAAAGAAGGTTCTAAAGTACGAATATAATTTTTATTAATTCTAAAGTAACACCATCTCTAAGAAAGTGCGGCTCTTCACTTTACAAATTTTAATCAACTTAATCCGAGGTATTCTCTGCCAAGTTTGATTAAAATTGGTCCAGTGGTTCTAGATTAGAGTAAAAAAAAATAGTTGTAAAAAATTAATAAAGACGACACAAACTCCAGCGACAGACAACAGACAAATTTGTTTTGAAGAACTCACTGGAGTCTTCGGTTCAGATAATCTAAAAAATTATCATGTAATAAAAAATTCATTAATTTTTGGTTGCTTAAAAATTCATGTGTATATGAAAAACATCCAAAATCAGGCTATTTACAAATCTATTTACTGCTTGACTCATTTTGGCGGCCTCTAATGATATTCCTTATATCTCCCTTACCTTACGAATCAACGGTTTACCTATTGCAGAGAAACAAAGGTATGTGGTACACATGTACAGTTATACAATTGGTACTTTACCAAACGTTTGACCTTCTAGTACCAGGTAAGGCATATTTGTTTTATTCATTGGAAGTTAAAACAATGAATAAATACTACGTTAAAATACTTCTAGACTAGAGAGTTTCATTGAATGAATGCACCATGCATTGCTTATGATCTGTTTCACAAGATTATACAAGATTATATGTGCTTACTTCCAATCAGTACTTTCTTTTAAAAAGAATTTTCAAACGCAAAATTTCGTTTGTCGTAGTATTGTGCAGAACCGGTATGCTTCCATGACTTCAGTTTCACGGAAATGGAAAATACAGTCATGTATTAACATTTATTTCGGTATATTCATTTTGTTCTAATTAATGGCCAAAAAATGTGGTTATATAACTGTGTGTTTTTTTAAAAGAAAATGTACATGTAAAATAAGAATTGAGAGAGAGAAAAGTCCCTTTGTAAATTGATATAACATTTATCTCTTTTTTTCTGGTATACAATTTAGCTGCTTTACTATTCATCAAAAGGTTTAGACATTTTCAAATGATTTAAATGGATTTTATTCCATTTTATACCACATTCATTGATATTTCCTTAAAGGAAGTAAGAATTCAAAACTCTTTTTGTAGAGATTTTATACAGAGACTGTATAAAAATTATACTGACCACAATTAGGTATATTTACACAAAAAAATCATTATTTTATTTACACTAGAATATCACTGATGAAAAATGTTCACCTTTCGAAAAAGTACCCCATCGTCAGTTGACAAAGGCTGGGCATGGTTTATATTATTAGGTAAGTATTATTATAGAGTAGATGGTTTTAATATACATGTATATAATGAAACAAGGATACATAACGGGTTCAAGCAAATGTTCAATCAAGCCTCTTTCTTTACTCCTTACTAAGTGTGGAGTGAAGGAGAAACTAAAAGAGTACTGTGCTACAATGTATTCAAGAAATTGTGTTAATGAGATATGGATACTTAAAAATTCCAAGAATCTTTTGGACAGTTTGAATTCACAAGATTTTATCAAAATCGACAGCTTAAAAATTTACTACTTTTCTTTATACACAACAATCACCCGCGATAAATTAAGTCACGGCTTTTTGATATCATTGACAGCTGCTTTTTCAATAAAAATGGAACTCGTAAATTTACTTACCTTGTCATTGGTCATTTGCAAAATTATTTTGTTAAAAACATTCTGATTGTACACACAAGTACTCTGAAGTTGACATGAAAATTTTTCTTGAGTTGCTGCATAAGGGAAGCAAGGAAGTAAGGAAGCTAAAACATTCCGACAGTACACACAATTACTTTGAAGTTGGCATGAAAAAGATTCTTGATTTTCTCATTGACAAAATCTATGTTTTTTGGGACAAGATCTTCCAACAAAAAATGGAATTTCTTTGGGTACCGATTGCGCCTCGTTCTTAACATACCTACTTTTGTATTCATATAGAGCAGAATTTGTCCAAAATCTTTTACGTAAAAAAAGAAAACTTTTGCCGTGGCCTTCAACTCAACATTTAGATATTTAGGCGACGTATTATCATTTAACAATGGAAATTTCCATTCTTATGTCAATACGAAATATCCTGGTGAGCTTGAGATAAAAGATACCACAGAGTCTGACACATCTGTTTCAAATGTGGATATTTTACTTGAGAAAAACGTTAGTGATACTCTGGCAACCAACCTCTATGAAGAACATGATGACTTTAACTTTTCTGTCGTCAACTTCTCTTACTTATGCAGCAATATACCTTATTCACCTGCATACGGAGTTTATATATCTCAGTTGATTCGATACGCAAGAGCATGCTGTAAGTATGAAACAAGAATGTCAACAGTCTCGTTTAAAGTCAGCGTTTTGTAAAATTTAAGGTCGATACAATGACTTTGTCAGCAACTACAATTTACCATTGAGTCAAATGCTGACTGACGTTTTTCATACTAATTGTTAGTCCATTATTTTTACACTGAATTGACGACAGATTTTTCCGTTATTTCCCGATCATGACAGGGAACGCATGGCGGGTGTGACCGGTTAGTAGGGGATGCTCACTCTTCCATTGCACCTGATCCCGCCTCTGATGTTTTGGAGGTCCGTGTTTGCACTGCTCCTGTTTTGTATTGTTTTGTGGACTTTTGATCTTAAATACTGTTCGTTATCTCCATACATGTACGTTTCATTTAACGGCCTCTTTAATTCTTTTATACTTATAGCATGTTTCTTGGAATATTTTTTAACCATTGGTATGTTCAAAACTTTTGGATTATTCTTTGTGCAATACCAGAGAAAGTATTCGACTACAGCCTCCGTCCTATCCTTGGTCCTGTCTGTACAAACAATAGTAGCCAGTGTCAGCTGTAAGTATCTGCTTACATGTATCTGTCCAGAATATTTGTACACAGTTTAGCATTTTTTCCTCAAATGAGTTTAATTAATTGAAACCGACATGAAATAAAATTGAAATTCAACAATTGTCAATACGTTTTTTTAAGCAACACACTTAGAGATGTATCCTTTACGCTTTATGATTAAATGCAAAAACATTAAACCAAATCCATTTATAGCGGTTTGTTTGAACTTTAAATATGACATGTTGAAACGGATTTCCATCTTTCTATTGATATATCTATGGATATCTTGTGGATAAAAGCATTTGACATTTCCGGAAAAAACAATGTACTGTTCTTCAAAGTCACTTTTAAGTTCAAATAAAAACACTGATCTTGTGAGGAAAGGAATTATCTTTTCTTGAAAATGCAAATCTAAAAATAACTCATTTATATCTCTTCTGACTTTTCAGCCATTTTTATAATGGGCATTGGAACAACATACCTAGGAGAGAGATTAATGGTAATTTTGGCAGCAATCCTTGGACTTGGCTCCAATTTAGGCAATGCCTTCGCACCACAACCATCCCTTCTCTTCTTCACTCAAAGCACCCTATATGGTATGGAAACATAATGTAACTCGTTTGAGTATCAGGTTTTAATTGATAACTAATATGTTCAGTTATTTCTTTTTGTTGTTGTTGATTTCATGTCAGCGAAAATTGATTAGAATGCCACAAAAAAGTCAAAGGTTATCTTAGCTATGTCTTTGTAATGTTTTATAAGAATCAATCCTACTAACAACTGTGTCATAAATAGTCATACTGGTATGAAAGCGTATAAGTTTTTTTTTTTTATTCTATTTTTATTTATTTTAGCGTCCATAAGTTATGTCAATTCAACTAATGATTTTAGGGCGAAAAAGGACATCTATTAGGCCGTCAAATTTTAAGATACAGCAATATACAATGAAATTATCTTTGACCTTTAAAGGACAACAGACTGCAATTAATAATTTCTTCGCCTACCTTCCTAAGTTATGAGGATACAGTTTGTTGTAAATATTGGCCAATAATTTAAGTTTTTATCAGGAATTGAAAATAAATATCTAACAACAGGTTTCCATTTGAAAAACTACAGAACCACATATCTAGGCTCAATACATGTATTATTATGTAAAGATTCTTATTTTTTGTAGATTTCAATATGTTCAATCAGATCGTTTGGACAATGGGGCTGTGTTTACATAATTAAGATATATGTACATAATTTTGGAAAAATCTTTTGATATCTTATAACAAGAGGGCAATACTCATTCTTGTGTAAGCATTCTAACATGGTATATTTATTCTTTTCAAATCATGTGCCTTGGAGCTAGCTATAGGATTGGGCACGCACCGGTATTATTAATATTTCAAGATATTTATTTGAGGAAAAGCTTTTTAACTTTTTTCTTTGTAAAAATAGCTTTTTATTCCATCTTTAGTCTTCATTTTTAGTGCTTTATATAAATTTCCAAAAAACAAGACAGATATCATAATATACATACATGTATATATATATATATATATATATATATATATATATATATATATATATATATATATATATATATATATATATATATATATATATATATATATATATATATATATATATATATATATATATATATATATATATACATTCCCTTGATTCCGATTCAATAGCAAATATGGCTGAAGAGGAGTAAAAGAGAGGATATAATAGCTATCCTGTGTTCAGCAATAATATACTGTATAGATTTATATGTGAATTATTCAAATAGTTTTTATGCCCATTATTAAGTGTACATTTAATGTTAAAATCTTTATTTTATAGTCTTATGTTTTTGGATTCGAAATGATATAAAAAGTTGAAAACCCTTTTAGTATATCCATCCTGATGTAATTTCTAGCAGCATCATTTCAATAGCTGGTCATTTGCCACGCCTTTATGTTGTTTGTAACCATATTTCATAATTCTTTCAGCACTTACGTCAGAATCTGCTCATCTTTCTGCTATGTTGATACTTGGAAAATATTTTGAGAAACGGAGAGGAATGGCATATGCAGTTGCAAATTTCGGAGCAGGAATTGGCGGGTTGGTTTTACCACAATTAGTGACATATCTATTTGATGAATATGGACTACGGGGTACCCTCATAATAATTGGTGGATTGCATCTTCACTTCTTTCCTATTGGTCTTTTGATGCGACCAATTGAAAGAGAGACAACTAAATCACAAAATATTAAGGAAATAGAAAATCAGCGTTTGATAAAACAAGAGGGGAATCCAGATAGATTTTCTGAATCAAAGGAAATAAAGGAACAAAATGATGAGCACAAAATACAGGATGCTGACACTGCCTCAAACTGTTTGCTTCATAAACATAAAAAGGAAAATGGAAATGTAATCACTCTGTTACCCATTAATTCTGAAGATGAACTGAATCATCCTTCGTCAAAAAATGAATGTTCAGACGATGATACAGTGCGGAAATCAATAGGGAAAAGTGACTTCAAGAATTCCACATTAAATTTAGAAAAGTATTCAACACAAACTGAACGGAGGAAAGGTCTTTGCTTCAGGTTTATGTTTAAAATATTTGACTTTTCTTTGTTCAAAAATGGTAGATTTAACCTGTTAATGACATCTTCGTTGCTCATTGCTGCTGCCTGTACAATTCCCGTAGCTTACATTCCACCTTTCGCCAAAGACCAAAAAATACAAAGTGCTATGATCGGATATCTTGTCACGTTCTCATCAGCGAGTGATTTAGTCGGCAGATTCTTATTTATATTCATAGCAGACAATAAGATAATCCAAAAACATCATATGATGACAATTGCGATGGTACTCCACGGAATCGTGTGTCTTATGGCAGTGTTCTGTACTAATTTTGTCTCTTTAGCTATATTTAGCATTCTGGAGGCTGCACTAGGTGGAGTTTACTATTCTTTGATAAACATTCTGCTGGTTGAGTTTATAGGCTTAAAAAGTCTCAATCATGGATTAGCAGTTAATAGAATGACCAGAGGACTTTCTATCGCCATAACATCTACACTCATTGGTAAGTTATTCATCTCTGAATTACAGAACGAGATTTGATATCATTAAAATCCTTTTATCAATAGATGTTTTCTTCATGTAGTTGACAAAGAAAGGTCACGTCAAAGTTATGCAGAAGCCATTGCTAGATAAAAGCTTCTTCGGACTTTTAAAAAATTGTGAGGAAAACAGCAATCATGCTTAAAACTCTATTTAAAACATAAAAGTTACAACAAGAAACTCTGAGAACAGAGGTTGAAATGGGTGCCTTGCATGAGTAAGAATCCCTTGTCGCCCGGTCACACCTACCGATTGCATCTTGTCCTGATATTCGCAGACTATGCAGTCTGAAAATAATGACACACCAATCTTTATATTAAAAAATCAGTCAAAGTTTGACTGAATGACTAAGGAATTTGCGAAACATTGACTTTATTTAAGATTGTAAATATGCTAGTATAATCAACTAATTTGTCAATTAATTGCCCTGTTTTAAAATATTTTCGTAGGTAAAACTTTTATATCGAATCCATTTGGATACATAAATTCCATATGCAGGCGATAAGAATGTATCGCTAGATAAAGAAGGTGCGTTTACAAGTGAAATGTTTCAGAATCTGTGGTGATTCTTACGAGGTCAAATGCTATATCGATTGAATCAAGGTCGGAACAAAAATGTTTTTTTTTGAAACGATATACCTAAATGTCAAAGACCATTTACGGTTCTTCTTTTCTCGTAGAAGTTTCTGAGAATAAATTATCCATAGTGTTGGTAGTCATTGTAATGGATCACTGTAATGGATCTTCAAGGGAGGAATTTTGTGTTTGTTTTGTTGTTGTTATGTTTTTCCTTGTCTTATTTTTGAAAATGCTCTTCTTGTTTCATTAATTTCAGACAATATAATATACCCTTTTCATCACTTGCATTAATTTACTTTTTTTTTTACTTTTTAGGTGTTATACGTGATAATACTGGGTCATATGTCGGCGGATTCTACTTGATGGGGATATGTTCCATCATAGGTGGTGCTATACTACTTTTCAAGCCCTGTGTATCGAACAATGAAAAAGATTCTTGAATAACTAGAAATATGTCACCATACTGGGTCGTCCTTAATTCTTTAATAACCATTATTTTTAGCTGCAATTTATATCAAATATACACTGGAATGGCTAGTTTTATGGTTTTGAAATCGAAATTTAAAGATTTTTTTCATGATCGGTAAATGACGGAAAAAATCTATGGACAGCTCAGTGTGTAAATAATGGCCTAAAAATCAGTATGAAAAATTAGGTCAGCATTTGACTTGATGATAAATTGTTTTTGTTGACAAGGGCACTGTATTAACCTTAGCACTTACGAAATGATGACTTCAAACTAGACTGCTTACATGTACATTCTTGCTTCATCAACTTACCTCGTTTTAGAAATTGTTCATACGTAGTATGTGCTATTCCGTATCAAATCAGCTGAGAGATATAAACTCCGTTTGCAGTTGACAAATGAATATACATTCATCTCATTATATATTTATGCATAAAATTATTTTTCAGTAAAAAAAATTATTTCCAAATCAATATTAATCCTTGAAAAAATGATGAGGTCTGTAACCTATAAAATATTAAAAAGAAGAAGTGTTTGCAATATATTTGTTTTCTCTACCTTTTCATGAGAAAAATACCGAGGTTTGTTAAAGCTCAGCCGAATGCTACAAGATGAACATACATTGTATGTTAAATCAAAACAAACCTCGAATCGGAAGGAAAATAAAATTACACAAGCGATGAGATAGTCTTTGAATAAAAATGACATCAGTTATATAAATAGCATTAAAAAAATGTTTTATGTTAAAATGTGATTTTGTGTAATTTTCTACATAAAAGTGTGCAATTTGTGCACACTTTTCTCTGACATTGTCAAGTCTTTCGAAATTTCAGAAGATGTGCCGGTAGGACTTTTCAATTAAATTTGGAGACATTACATGTAGTATGAAACAGTATTAAAGACCATAAGTTCATTCAATCAATACAAATAGGAGAACTGCAAACACGGAACTCTAAAACATCAGAGGTGAATTAAGATACCATGGTTGAGTAAGCCTCTGCCGACCAACTACACTCGTGTGTTCCTTAATTGTCATAAACGGGAAAAACCATAATAATTCATTCTGAATTATAAGCTAACTATAAGTATGAAAAAACTACAGTCACCAATGATAGAATCTACTTGCTGACAAGATCATTGTATCAACCACAGGACTTGCTAAAAGATGACGGTTTTTGGTGTGTTTATTCATAATTGATATATAACCCAGTGGTTGGAACTTTTGCGCAGGAGTTGATCCCTGCGTCAGTGGTTCCAATTTCAACTCAGAATGTAGAGACAGTCCTTCAGATGAGACTATATAAACCTTGGTCCCATGTTTCAATAGGTGCTGGCGCAAAACGATCCCGCACTGTTCAATGGCCCTCAGAGCCTAGTATAGTCCTCCGACAAGTGGTGGCGTTTCGATTTTGGTGAAGAAATCTCAAATAATCAAACGCAAAATTATGAGTAATAAATTATGATTTGTATATATGTAAATCGGACGAAAAGTAAACGTTCACCGTTAAATACCCAATTCAAAACATATGAAAACAGCAAACGATGCATGTGCATAATGCTTATGTATTGTGAATACTGACGTAGAATACACATACTGGCTGTATTTCCCACTTTTATATTATATTGTTTAAATAGTATGATTGTAATTTTAGTAGCGGGCAAAGTCCTGACAACTAAGTCATCATTAACAATTTATTTCCCTCGTAATGGTATTCTGTAATTTCACTCTACTTCTATTTAAGTAAGGGTCGGAAATGAATCAGAGTTGTCTACATCTTTCTTTGCTTACTTATTTCAGTTTTTATAATTATTTACACTGTAGTTTACATGTATGGGGTAAGTTCTTTTTTTATTTACATAGTTTTACAATGACATAGTACATCTATAGACAGCCACGTACTGCGAAGAATGGATAATCATTCGCGTAACGTTTTGATTAACGCTAAGTTACAACGTAAATTGAGATAGTTTAGACCGAATACACTGTGTCTGTCTAAAGTTTAGAACCTAGATCCATCCCTCTGGAAAAGCTCGTTTAAGTGTTTAATCAATGTTTACATTTATGTAGTGTGTGTGTACTTCAGCGCTTGGTGCGTTGTAAAATGTTGCCTAGAGGTCGCTCAGAATCAATGTCAACGTTCCGTTTATAGTTTGATAAATCTCGTAGAAGTGGGAAATCCTTATCTCCGATGTTTATATCTGAAGACACAGGTGTATAACAAATCTTTCAAGTCACCGAACTTCTGTATTTGAGAGCAGGTAAGTGTCTTTCCATGCTTCACATCCTTCAAGGACATTGCGATTCATATTTATAATGTTACGGTACACTACAGATACTTTCGACTGGCACGGTTCTTTAATTGTTATGTATTTTCTATTTATACCTTTCATTTTTTTTTTAGAATATTTTGTATCAATGACCTCAATATCTTGAGAACCGGTAATTAGTACAAGGTTTCCAATATTCTTGAGATGGAAAACTGTCTTTTGATTTAGAGTTTTTTTTCCATTGTTATTGTACCTTACTTCAAATTCTACAAAAACAGCTGTTTGTAACATATTGCATCATTTGCCGTATTTCACAGGCACGGTTTTATGGCATTTAAATTGGGCTGGGCAGAAAACTTCATTTCCTACAAATCCACCTTAAAAAATTAAAGCGAGACAATCTTTTATTGAGGAAAAAAATTATATTAGTCTTTATTATATTTGATACAATTTCCTATATTTTTTCATACAACTCTTTTTTCCAAGAAGTTCAAAAGGTTTAAAACAGACAAAACCATCTATCCATTGCATTCCGTAGGAGGAGGGGGTTGAGGTGTTAAAGGATTACTTGTTACTAACACTACAATTAAAACAATCTTATTTCTCCTATGTAATTTTCTTTTTCACAAATGGAAAGAATTTTTAAGCATTATTTTCTTGCCTGCAGCTGTTAGATTATGCTTTCTTCATACTCAATTTATTTCAAACTGGTTGTGGTTTTTTAACAGATGACTTTCTTCAATTTTCGGAAAAGTTCATCAGCGTCTGTTGACAGAGGATGGGCTTGGATCGTTCTTCTTGGTGTGTAGTGTGTTTGTAAATACAAAATAGTAATAGTAAACAGTGAATATAAAAATGTGTATTTTTCAAATATGGAGTAAAATTATATTTTTTATCATTGGTTTAAACAAAGTTTAGAAATTCTTTTTTTTAAATTAAAAATGTAAACTGAACATCTTTTCATTTCTGTATTGTTTGTGACTTCTTTGTTTTCCAAAAGAGAAAGAGAAAAGATTTATACAAATGATTTCAAAATATCAAATGTTCTTGTGAATTCCTTAGTATTGTACGAAGGATTTGCATAAATGGATAGTAAATGATTGTACAAGAATTCTTGTTCAGTTTACCTTCCCCAACAAAATAATTACTTGATACAGGATTGGAATTTAATTCTGCAAGGTTATGAATCTGATTTGTTTTCGGATATTTATCTTAGATTTTGTTTCAATTCATTAATAATGGAAATCGCCAATTGTTATTGATATTGCTTTAGTGGTCGATTAGGAAATGAATTAATCATAAACAGAAAACGATCTGGCTAAGGCGAAGCAGGTGGGCTTAGCTAATAACGGGTTCACCTCAAGTTGTCTAGTTTTGTGTGTATGTTGTATTCGTCTGCCTTATTAAATCAATTTGTAATATTTTTCTTGATTTCTCTTTGTCTTTCAAACGATTGTCCCTCTCTCTTAATTGATTCAAGCTGCATGCTTTTTTCCGATTTATCACATATTTCAATATTTACAATGTATATATCTGAAACTGATTTTACGTTTGATAACATAATTTGCTTATTTCACATCTTGTACACATACTTCAATTTATCCTATTTATTCTTTTATTGTAGCCTGCTTTTTGGAATACTTCATAATCCTAGGAATGTTTAAGTCATTCGGGCTATTTTTTGTACAATATCAGAAGAAATATGAGACAAGTGCTTCCATACTCTCTATGGTGCTCTCTGTTCAGACCATTGTAGCCAGTGTAAGCTGTAAGTACTACAGTTCAGTTAAATTTTTATAATATAGTTACAGAGTGAAACCTATCCAACTTGCATCAGGAGACAAATTTTGTATGGGAATAGACAGGGTGTCGGATTGCACAGTGTAAAAAAACATAAAAAATTAGTAAAATGGGAAAAATATATTAAGTCGGAATTTTCGATGTGACGGATTGCACATGCATGTGTCTGATAAGACAGTTCTCATTGAATCTTTATTTTCCATATTTGAAAGCTACAAACTTGTATGTTTCTTTTGTAGCAATCATCATCATGGGAATTGGAACTAGATACTTAACAGAAAGGACAATGGTCATGTGTGCGGCCGTCATAGGATTAGCGTGCCAGTTAGGAAATGCTTATGCACCGTTTGCAGAATTTTTGTTTTTGACACACAGTGCTCTATTTGGTATGTATAAAGACATTTAAAGACGGAAAGCGCCAATCATTAATGATTCTTTTAGAGTCATCTCATTTGAAAGATGCTTTCTGCATTAGATATTATCATTAGTAAACGTATGTTTTCTAGCACCATTCATTGTTTTATAATTGGTACATAAATTAAAGTTCAAAACCGAACAATCCTTTTAAAACGCACTGGGTTTGATGCTTTTCTATTATTTCAGCTATCTCGGCAATGTTTGCTCATCTGCCCTCAATGTTGATGGTAGGGAAATACTTTGAAAAACACCGTGGAATGGCCAATGCAGTTGCTAATGTTGGTGGAAGTTTGGGTGGCTTGGCTTTACCATTTCTATTGACCTTTCTATTAAAGGAATACGGTTTGGAAGGTACACTTACTGTAGCTGGGGGATTGTATCTTCACTTTTTTCCTATTGGGTTACTAATGAGACCAATTGATAGAGGACAAGGAAAGAAAGAAAGTATAAATGAAGAACAGGGCAAGTTATCTGATAACAAGGATCAGAACGAACACCTTATTCCAAAAGACAAGGAACAAAGCTTAAGTGTTGAATTTGAAATTCGAAATACATTCACTGGTTCTAAACACTCTCTTCATTTAAATGGAAAATCCCATTCTTTAACAAACATTGATTCTGTACACAAACGAAATGGAAAACTACAGTCAGTAGAATTGTGCGGAAGCTCAATGAACCTTGCAAGTACAGTATCCTTAGATATGATTAATACAACACAATCAAAGAATCAAATGAACTCTAATTACAATGAAGATAGGAATTGTTGTGTTCAGTTTTTGTTTGTGTTATTTGACTTTTCTTTGTTCAAAAATGCCAAATTCGTTATCTTGATGGTGTTTTCTTTTCTTGTTGCTGCTGGTTGTACTATTCCTGTAACCTACATAGCACCATTTGCAAAAGACAAAGGGTTAGAAACAGAAATGATTGGATACCTCCTTACAATTTCAGCAGCAAGTGACTTAACTGGAAGAATTTTGTTTATATTCATCTCTGATAACAAAAAGATCCAAAGATGTCATATGATGATCATTGCAATTATGGCAAATGGAATTGTATGTTTGATGGCATCGTTCTATAACGATTTTGTTACGCTAGCAGTATTTGGCATTCTGCAAGCGTCATTTGGTGGTACATACTATTCATTAATAAACGTTGTAATAGTTGATTTCATAGGATTAGAAAATCTTAGCCATGGTTTAGTTATGGGCACCGTAACAAGAGGCACATCAATTGCCATTACATCAACTTTAGTCGGTAAGTTTGAATTTTTCTACATCAACTGTCAAGCTTCAATTCTTCTTAAAATAATGTATTCAGTCATATCCAAAAGGTGCAAAACTCAGATAGATCTTTGGTGAACAACAAAGATGAATGCGATATAATGTAAAATCGAGAATTGTTAAATGGACAAAATGGAAGAACCTCGTCTCTATATAAATTATATTTACAGGTATTATACGAGACAAGACTGGGTCGTATGTTGGTGGATTCTACCTCATGGGGATATGTTTGATTCTTGGTGGAGTTTTATTGTTACTGAAGCCTTTGATATCCAAATGAATATGTTTTCATGAGCTTAGGTTGTACTTTTGTTTACCGAAGGGAGAAAATATATATAAACATATGTATAATGTATAATTTGATGTTTTTTATGAAAAAGAAATAAGTATCATAGTAGCCTTGCGATAGGACGTTTTCTTCGTGATTGGGAGGCTCGGGTTCGATTTTCGTTCGCCATGCCACGTCAAAACTAAGACATAACCAGAGGTAGTAAATGTTCCATCGCCAAGCGCTCACTAGAAGTAAGCCACATGTCTTTCAGATGAAACATTAAAAATCGACGTCTTGTGTCACAGAGGGCATTGGCTCGATAAAGAACCTCACCTCTCAAAGGTCCTGGGTTCCGAGTATGTCTAAGTTTGAAGCGTTTTATCTATTTATGGGGAAGTATCAATATGAATTAACATTTTCGAATCGGACGTTAAAGAAAGTACAAGAAAGCAGAAACACAAGTGTTGGATATTCTGTATGTTTCTTGTCTGTAGCTTGAAATACTAGAAAATATCATAACAAATCATTTTATAAATGTGTGCGACTCATTACATTTAAACCAAGGCAACGCCTGTTTTATATCACTATCTACATGCAAGTATCTGTATGAAGCATCAGTATCAATCAGGTGTTTTTCGGGGGGGCGTCTCCATTTGAGTGAAAAATTCTAGAGATGGACGTTAAAAAACATACAATCAATCAATTAATCATGTTGTTTAAAAAAAAAAATTGTCAGTATGTGCATAGTCAAATACAAATGAAAGAAATTTATAATTCATTATTTGTTAGCATCTTCAACTGTATATTTGTTCATTAAAATACTCAACGTTAAGCTACGTTAAAAATCTGTATGATCTTTGCTATGATCATCGTTTCACAGTCACAAGATGATTGCAGAAATTTTAAAGCATTTTTGATAAAGTTGGCAGTGGAGTCGTTTGAAATAAAATTATTCAAGAAACCAGGTATGAAGCAAAAAATAATATGTACAATGACAATTAGTTTGTCATTGTCGTTAAACAAAGCTTTACATATAGGGGTTATGTTTCCTTATAGTAAAGTGAGGCTGTTATAACCAATAATCTGTTTGTGGAATAAATGTTCATCAAAATGTTGAAGAGATCTTAATACCTTCCTCTTTTTTGAAAAATTTCCCCAGTATCATTATTCAAAGACACAATCTTGCTCCACCCTCCTTTTTACTAATGCCATAAAAGATATGACGACCTCGGATGAACACTTACATACACAAGTAATGTAGGGAATCGATGTGCTAATGTGAATGTGATGCCATTATTCTAAAATGAAATGGTAGAGACGGCGTCCAAGAGAAAGAGAATGTATATACTCGAGAAAGAAACGAAACAAAAAGACTTAGATATAGTGCTTTGAACATATTATCTGTCAGTTAAGACATAAAATACAGATAAAGCAATAAAATACACAACTGATTTTGTTATTTTACATTCATAAAATTAATCAATACGATTTGTCCTTTATATTTTTAACATAATTTCTCGATGTTGGGGGTTATACTGCATGATTTATGATCATAACAGCAAAAACTTATTTTTATGAAACAAAATCCGATTTAAGATGATTAAAATTAATAAGTGAAAATGTACACATGCATTAAGTTTTTGAAAGTGAGAAATGTTTTTGATATCAAGCGAGAGGCTTTTAGACCATTGTTTGTCCACAGCATTAACGTTTTGCTGAACATTCCGTTTTTCATTAAGCCAAGTATTACTTATCTGCAACATACATTCTTATCAGTAATAAAGTTATGAAGTATATATCTTATGATGTTTTGTAGACTCGTTGTTAATCAAAACTTGATTCCAATGTTTTCACCAGTGGTTCTTTCTCCGAAAAAAGTTTTCTATCGTTATTGTGTCAGCGGGTGTTGTGTAGGAATCATATCCAATATTTAATTTATTATGTGATTCAGTCATAGACCAAAGAAAAATCCCTAGCAAAATATAAATTAAACACACTCTCTTTGGACTTATGTCTTCACTTTCTTTTATCTCCTGATATCGAACAGTTCCATAACGCTGACACCTAAGTCCAATATCAAATAACGCATATCTAACTCGCGAATATTAATCACTGCGAACCATTTATTTTGCAAAATTATTTTGTTAAAACACATTCTGATTGCACACACAAGTACTCTGAAGTTGACATCAAAACGATGCTTGAGTTTCTGATTGTCAATGTCTATGTGGTTTTTGGAGACCAGGTCTTCCAACAATCTATTGGAATTACCATGGGTACCAATAGCGCTCCGTTATTAGCAGACCTATTTTTGTATATATATATGAAGCAGAATTTGTGCAAAATCTTATGCGTGAAAAGAAGAAAACACTTGCTGTGGCCTTCAACTCAACATTTAGATATATCGACGACGTATTGTTAATTAACAATGGTTATTTCCATTCTTACGTCGATACGATATATCCTTGAGCTTGAGATAAAAGATACCATAGAGTCGGACACATCTGTTTCATACTTGGATATTTTACTTGAAGAAGACGTTAATGGTAATCTAACAACCAAGATATATATATGATAAACGTGATGACTTTAACTTTTCTATCGTCAACTTGCCTTACTTCTGCAGCAATATACCTTGAAGTTCATCACCTGCATACGGAGTGTATATATCTCAGTTGATTCAATACTCAAAAGCATGCTTTACGTATGAACAATTTCTAAAACGAGGTAAATTATTGACAAATAATTTGATGAAACAAGAAAATCAGCAGCCTCGTTTAAAGTCATCATTTCGTAAGTTCCATGGTCGATACAACGACCTTGTCAGCAAATACAATTTATCATTGAGTCGAATGCTGACTGACGTTTTTCATACTAATTGTTAGTCCATTATTTATACACTGAATTGACGATGGATTTTTTCCTTTGTTTCCCGATCATGACAAGGAGCACACGGCGGGTGTGACAGGTCAGCATGGAATGCTACTCCTCCATGGCACCTGATCCCACCTCTGATGTTTCGGAGGTCTGTGTTTGCTTTGCTCCTATTTTGTATTGTTTTATGGACTGTAATATTGAATACTGTTCGTTATCTCCATATCCTACTTGTATTTGTAGAGAATTTTCCCTCAGTCGTGAAAATTAATTAATGAAGCTCTTTAAAATAACAAAGCATTGCTAGAGTTCACGGGAGATTAAATTACGATAAGAAATTAAGTCGTTCTAACTGCTTATGGCTACTCGAAATTACGTAAAACTCCTTTCTTTTAACTGGATCAATCTACTCTCAAGCATTTTAAACACACTAAGTTCCATTATAAAATGCTTTAGGTTCCATGAATACATAAAAAGTATACTGTAAACAAAGAAAAAAAATAATGCACTGTATTTGCTGTGTGTTCAATGCACTTCACATTCAAATGTTTTAAAGGGGCTGGATGGTTGTGGCCATTTGTAGACTATTTTGATCTCCTTCAGAAGAAGGGCTCCTACAAAGATATACGAAAATGATCAAAAATTTAACTAAAATGTATGAAATTTGTCTTTGCCAATTGATAGTTGACAGCTTAAAATATCATATCTAAAAAATTAAGTCGTATGTAGTGGTTATATATAATTTAATTTGTTGACCCCTAGCCTGCTTAAACATCATGCACTCATTGTTGAAGATAAATTCTGCAGTTAAATCAATTTAAATACATGTAATTAAACCAAACCAATCTTCGTTTAATTATTAAATATGTTGGCATTAATGATAAACGCATTTGATAAATTTACATTTGAAGATTAAAAAAAAATATCATGAACATGATCGAGTCAGTATAAATGACCAAAGAAAAAAGAAAAAGACAATTGATATAATATTTTCTTGAGTTCTATCTATTTTTCATTTAAGAAAATGACGGATTCCTGTTTTACCCATCTAAGTCAACTTCTTCCGCATCTTAAAGTGATGCCTCGAACAAGTTCTAACCTGAAATAGCAGATAAACAATTTGTTGGCATGCTATGAAAAAACTTCTTTTAAAAAATCCCTCACATATCTTATAGTATGATACTTGTATATACATTTATATGAAGGATAGTAAAAAAAAAAAAGAAGAAATTTGGTGCATGAATAATATTTTCATGTGATTTAATGTTGATACTCTTTCCTATTTCTGCATACGTTAGCGATGTGAAATTCAACAAATAGATCCTATTTACAAATAACAGATAGGAAAATATTTCAAATCTAATTCCTGTACCTGTTCCTTGATCCGGCAGTTGTTTGCTTTCTTACAACTCATTACCCGTTCTCGATAACACTCCAGTACTCCGGTCTACTGCGAGGAATCTCGACTTTCAATTGTTAAGGTATGTAATCTAAACTGATTTTAAATGCTTTGCTCAGATGAAAAATTGATTAGATTTACAATGACTTACGTAATCAAAAATTCAGAATAATGTCAATAATATGGATTTTGAATTTTTATTACATGTTCATGGTTTTTTTTTCATTGTGCCACACTGGCAACCGTGTGCAATAATCTTTATATATATACTATAATTTATTCTATTTTTTAAATTCAAAACAATACATGATAATTTACGAGCGTCATCAATAAAAGCATTTCGTATACACAAGCTGCACAGCCAGTCCAACTGTCCTAGATTTTAAACAACGTGATGTATAAGGATATCCTATTTTCATCAAATAACAGTGGTTTTCCACTTCTTGTAGGGTCTCCAAAATTTTACACACCGTTGAAAAATCGTATTTGGTAAATCATTGAACTTAATATATTCCAATAATTTGAAATTGTTTGAATAAATATATATTTTGTGTCTGAAGTCGCTTCAACCAAAATAAAACATATAAATGTATGATTGAAATATACGAAAGTCTATTAGGATCAATCTAGAGAGAAAAACAATTAAAAAGGCGTTATAACGCCTTTTGAAAAGGTGTAATAACGCGAAAAAAGGCGTTATTACGCCTTTCCATTCCAAAAGGCGTTTAAATGCCTTTTTAAAAGGCCTTTCTAAAAGGCGTTATTACGCCTTTCCATTCTAGAAGGCGTTATTACGCCTATCCAAAAGGCGTTATTACGCCTTTCTAAAAGGCGTTATTACGCCTTTCCATTCTAGAAGGCGTTATTACGCCTTTCTAAAAAGCATTATTACGTCTTCCAAAAAGGCGTTATTACGCCTTTCTAAAAGGTGTTATTACGCCTTTCCATTCTAGAAGGCGTTATTACGCCTTTCCAAAAGGCGTTATTACGCCATTCCAAAAGGCGTTATTACGCCTTTCTAAAAGGCGTTATTACGCCTTTCCAAAAGGCGTTATTACGCCATTCCAAAAGGCGTTATTACGCCTTTCTAAAAGGCGTTATTACGCCTTTCCAAAAGGCGTTATTACGCCTTTCTAAAAGGCGTTATTACGCCTTCCTAAAAGGCGTTATTACGCCTTTCTAAAAGGTGTTATTACACCTCTCTTAAAAGCGTTATTACGCCTTTCTAAAAGGCGTTATTATGCCTTTCCAAAAAAGGTATTATGCTTTTTGAATAACCATTATTTTGCATTTAACAGTTAACAGACCCGTGCTTTTAATACCCCCCCCCCCTTCCACACACACACACACTCCACTGGCCAAATTCGTGGGGGAAATACTCGTTAAAAATTTATTTAAATGCAATAATTTGTCATTGTTTTACATACTGCAACAAAATGTTCAGGAACCATTTAATATTTAAACTGTAGCAAGACTTTTCATCAAAAATGTGTATATTTGGAGGGGGTTTACCCCATTCGCATCGTATTACTGGCCTACATGAAAAGGAAAAGGAAAAGGCGTTATCTTATGTTAATAAATATAGAAAGATTTCATTAAAACCATCTTTATTTGTGCAATTCTTTATATTCCTGCACATCTCACTGACAACTGTTTGCATTTGTATTAAGAGAAGGCAACACTCTACTTGTGAAGATCTAGAATATAGGCAGACTTTTCTTGGAGCTTTGTTTGCCATATACAGTGTATTAAAATTTATGTCATTTGAAGATATTTTTCTCTTTTCTTCGAAAAAAGCAGGCAACTATTTGCATGGGTATAATGAGCAATTGAAATCAATGACCCTTGGTAGAGATGTGCCTGGTATGAAAGAAGGACTTAGTTGGTTCAACATTGACAATATATGACGCATTTAAAAATCTTTTTTCCTGGAAACCTAATTGCTTTCTGTTTAAATTATTTTTTGAGAAATTATTCCTATATCTAATTGTGAAATTCATGTCCCAAAGGTACGATTTCTGCATACATACGCCCCCCCCCCTCGGTTGGGCTAAATATGTTTAGTTATGTATTGAAAGTAAAAGGCGTAATAACGCCTTTTAGAAAGGCGTAACAACGCCTTTTGGAAAGGCGTAATAACGCCTTTTAAAAAGGCGTTATAACGCCTTTTGGAAAGGCGTAATAATGCCTTTTAAAAAGACGTAATAACGCCTTTTAGAAAGGCGTAATAACGCCTTTAGAATGGAAAGGCGTAATAACGCCTTTTAGAAAGGCGTTATAACGCCTTTTAAAAAGGCGTAATAACGCCTTTTGGAATGGAAAGGCGTAATAACGCCTTTTCAAAAGGCGTTATAATGCCTTTTTTCGCGTTATTACGCCTTTTCGAAAGGCGTTATAACGCCTTTTAATTTTTTTTTCTAAATTGATCCTAATAGGCTTTCGTAGAAATAAGCATTGAGTTCATTACCAAAATTGTGTAGTTCGTGGCCCCAGGGTCAGGGGTTCCAGTCTAGGGCGGGACTGTGTAGATTATATAGTGAAATACATTATTTTCATTTGAAAAACTTCTTTTCTGCTCCTTGATATTTAATAAATTTACCTAGTACACAGTTGTGTTGAACAAGGTTGCCTCTTTCAAAATTGTTAATTTCATGACAACTGGGTCAGGGGTTCTGCTGTTAATAGGGGCTCTATTGATTACGTAGTGAAAAAGCATAAATTCTTTAAAGATCTTCTTCTCTGCTCCTGGGTATTATACAAACTAACAAAGTATATAGTTGTAATGAGCAAGGATGCCTCTTTCAGAATTGCGAATTTCATTGCTCCTGCGTCTGGAGTTCTGCTGTTGGGGATGAACTGTATTGATAATAAAGTGAAAATGCACTAAACCTTGAAAATTTTCTTTTCTGCTCCTTGGTATTGAATAAAACAAGTAAGATTATAGTATATAGTAATATTATGGGGTTAAATAATATATATTTAATTGTTGATAGTTTCATGATAAAAGTGATTTATGGGGGGCAACTAGATAGACCAATTATTTTTTTTATCCTAGTCATACTATTTTTTTCTTGCCTTTAAGCATCAAAGTTTCATTTGTCAATTTATAGATCTTCTAAATTGTTGTACTCAGGTAACCGTTAAGGCCCTTGGGCCTCTTGGGTTTTTTTGTTTGTTTGTTTGTTTGTTTGGTTTATTATTATTATTATTATAAAACTTTGACTCGTTTTATAAAGAAAATAATCATTTTAATCAGAACACTATAAATAAGTGTTTAAGGCATTTTAACCCTGGTCCGTGCGCACTATCGGCCTAATGACCGCAATTGTTCTACAAAAATATTAAATTCAAACAGTAAAAACCAATCCATTATGACTTGGATTTTTCTAAACAATATTTTGGTAAACAACAAGTATATTTTGAACTCTTCAATTTGACAAAAACGCCATTGCCCACGAACTTTTTGGACAAACCTCGTATATATAGAATCCCCCATGATTTGTGGCTGAATATGAATTTTATCCAACAAAGGTTTGTATAAGCCTTGGCGAGTTGAATAAAAATCGTGTCCAACCACAATCTAGGAGAGAGAGAGAGAGAGAGAGAGAGAGAGAGAGAGAGAGAGAGAGAGAGAGAGAGAGAGACTGATTTGTTTAGAAATCACATTAATAAAGCTCCATAAAATATAAAGAAATCATGATATGAAGATAGTTTTCTTTGGTGCTGTAAAGACTTTGCCCCATTCTTTTTATAAATCTATACATTTTTTTTTATATATTCTATAAATTAAAATTTTACGAAATTTTCAAACTTATTCTTGCAACCACTATTTAGGTTACCGGAATCCAAATGATGATATACATGATTTTTGAAAAAAAAAAATGTGATTCAATTATATAAATAGAAAGAAAAGAATGATTGCATTAAACATTTTTCATTGAACTGTTAATGTAACTGTATGTTTGTTTTCAAAGCACATAAAATATTTTAGATATTCTCATATTTCCACATTTGCAACCATTTGTCAATGCATAGCAAGCTTCACTGCATTAAGTTCAAATCACAAATTACATGTACCTAAAATGCAAATATTAATTTCCAAGAGCATATTTCCACCTTTGATATACATACAAAACAAAAGAAATACGAATTCGGCATGGTACAATTTAATTTTAATTCTTTTCTTTTGTTGTTGAAGTATTCAAGTATGGAAAACTTAAGTACCAAACCACAAAAACAAGAAGATGGACCCAAAAGTGAAGACGAAGAAGAACAACAAAAGCTTCTACTCGATTTGGCAGAAAATATTAAAAATGATAAAGTTAATGAACTTTCCGAAACGTTAGCAGCTTTACAGGACAATGATATTCAGAAATGGTTGGAAAATGCAGTTCCAAATACTGGTGGAGATTCTCTTCTTCATATTGCTGTTAAATGTCACGATACTTTACATTTTGTCGAACTCCTTGGAAAATATTGTCCAGGTCTCCTGGTAAAACATAAAGAAAATCCAGAATTTTACGGACAAATACCTCTCCACATTGCAATAGCAAAAGGAAACTTAAGTGTTATTGAGTTGATGCTTAAACAAGTACAGAAAAACACAAATAAGAGGAATTCCTTCCTACAAGATTTACTACATAAACAAGCTTCTGGGTCCAGATTTCTTAACACTATAATGATGGGACAACTTCCTCTCACTGTTGCAGCACTGAAGGGTGATTCCTGTGTAATAGAATTACTTATAAAATATGGTGCCAATATCGTCCAACAAAATAATTTAGGTGATACAGTTCTCCATTCAGTTGTGAAATATGCTGCTATATATCCAGATAAGATTAATTACCTGAAAGAGATGTTATTACACTTAAACGACAGAATTGAAAATATGGGGGAAGATAATCAATATGAAGAGAATTGCTGTAGGAACTATTACAGATTTAAAATGTCTTACGTTTGGTTTCTAAGGAACAGTGATAATATGACGGTTCTACAATTGGCTGCAAAGTACGGCGTAACAGAACTCTTCCAGCTCATTCTGAATCTTGAGGATGTTTATTGCTTCAGCAATTCAAATGATGGTCTCTTTGAAATCAAGGAATATGACATCTCAGAAATAGATACTGCGTGTAATATTCGAATGACATTTGAGTCCAAACACAGTCTGAATATTAAAACGAATGCTGGCGTCAATAACACCGCTCCAACCGCCGATGCAGAAATTGCAACTTGCTTTTCGCAGAATTGTCCAAAACCGGAAACAGAATCTGTTTTGGAAATGTTATTTCATTTCAATTACAATAGTGAAGATGCCTACAATATGATTGAACTTCCCCCTGTTAAGCATATAGTCAAAAAGAAATGGAAGAACTATTTGTGGACATTCATGACCATGATGGTCTTTCATTTTGTTTTTATGATCCTTCTTACTGCTTACACGGTTGAATCGTCTACAATATCCGAAGATTCAAAAGCAAATTTGACACACATTAACTTTACCTCGAATCAATTTACGCTTGTCTTTCGATGGGTGTCTTTTGTAATAGGAGTGGTGTATATTTTCATTGCAGTCTGTGTGATCATTACAAAATTAAGGAGAAATAATGCATTGCACTATGCACTCCACAATCTAGAGTACATTTTGCCATTACTTTTCTTTGGAATTTCTATTGTTATCGACAGCATACATGACTCAGTGTCAGAAGGGCAAAATGAAAATATTCCTTTAATAATTGCCGTTGTATTGGGTTGGTGGATAAACGTATTTTTCCTGTCACCTTTCAAGTATTTTAGTTTCTTCACAGAAATGATTAAAAGGGTTTTGATAGGAGATTTTATACGGTTCGGTATAATAATTTTGTTTGAACTGTTTGCATTTAGCGCTGGGATGTACAGCATCTTTCAAGGTGTAGAAGTAGAGGGAGCAATCTTCAGATCGTTTGAAAGAACCTTATTAGCACTTTTCAAACTTGCAATAGGCATAGAAGACATAGATATTTTATTCAAAGCTCGAATTCCATGGCTTGCCGTTACCATTTACTCAATCTTTATAGCATTCACATACCTACTGATGTTAAATGCTTTGATTGCAATGATGTCTGAAACATGTTCTAATATCCTTAAAGAACAATATCCGCGATGGCGAATTCAGCAATTGTCTGTGGTTTTATTTTTAGAGGATATTCTCTGTCTTTGTTGGTTTGAAAAGATTTTGTCAGTTATTGGAAATAAAACAGACATGAAGATTTTTCATCCCAATAACTATTATGAAGACCATCCAAGATATTTCATGGAAATCCATTCTCTTCAGTTGGAATATGCAACTACCGAAGATAAAGAACGACTAAGGAAGAAAAATCCAAACCTATTACAGACAATTTACAATTCTCCTGAGATCGACGAATTAACAGATATGAACGAAGGCATTGATATCGTGGAAGAAAATCTTACACAACGGAGAAAATCTTCGAAGAAAAGATATTTCCCCTTGTCTACTGTTCGTTCTAGAAAGTCGAGGAGAAAAGTAGCGTCTTCAGTCGAGAATCCATAAATAAGTCCTACTGATGTAGCAGCGACATTCAGCCAACGCCTTTTAACAGTGATCCATTACAATATAATGATTGAATCATTGTGTGTAGGACAAATACTGTTCCGTATGTTGATATTCGAAATTGACTGATCAGTTCTTTTAAGAAAAGACAGTTATGATTTTATTCACATGCGCATTTGAAAACCAACAATACTGGGGAAACACTTTCAACTATTTAAAATAATTAGAAAAGTCTTTATTTCGATATTTATTTTACTGTCATTTGAACTGTTTTTCAATTAACATGATTTGCATCGTTGAATTATCTACTGGACAATATTTTGTATTCTAAAAAGTTTTTCTCTGAATAAAAAGGAAGTACACTCTTCTATTTGAGGGTTTAATAAAGATATATCATTTATTACATCGTTTAACATCTGTTTGTAAACAACATTTTTTTGCATCTTAAATAGGAGAAATATACTTTTTTCATAAAAATATTTATGCTCAGTTTTACACTGAATTATTGAAATGTATGTGTAAGCGTGTAAGCAGAGCACATGCATTTAATTTGGATTTCAGAAAAATTACATGGCTGCTGCCAAGTAGATCACTGACAAATACATACACAGATCTAACATAGAACATTGAAATTCCTAATAAAGAGGAATAATTCCATTTCCTCAATATTTAATTCATCATAATTTATCTCCATTAAAAATGAAAGTCTGAACTTTGGAGAAAACGAACAGTATTCAAAATCAGAGGTCCATAAAACAACACAAAACAGGAGCAGAGCAAACACAAAACCTCCAAAACGATTGGTCTTCTTCAACATTGCTGTGGTTAAAAACCACTCTGATTCTACTCACAAATACTCTAAAGTTGAAGTTACAAGGATGCTAAAGTTCCTTATTGGCAATATTTATCTCGGCAATTGATCCCACCTCGGGATTTTCCGGTGGTCCAAGTTTTGTACCCTATTTACAGATTTGTTATTTTTTTTTCTTTTAGATCTTAGAATTTATCTTCATCTTTTTCTTTCAAGTGCGAAAAAAAAACAAAATTAAATTTTCAGATGTTTGAATTATTTGTAACAACTTTTTAACCTCCCAAAGCGATTTGCTAAGCACTTGACAGCTCGTTGTGTGGTGCTTTATAATTAATACACTTGAAGTGAATGCTAAAATTTCTTATTATTGAATTTTTTTTTTTCATATTGAATCAGGGATCTATATTAAATATTAACATTTTTTTGTTTTGTTTCGTTTTTTATAATCATGATCAATCAATCAGTTCGCGTAATGATTTTACGCATAAACACCTTCGGTGTCAAAAAAAGTTAAAACAGAATGAAATGCAAACTAATTTATAACTCAACTAAGAAAAACCAGGTCTATATTTATAAGCATTTAGGGCAAAAAACTGTTAAAAAACCCAGTCCGTAATTCTTTCTAAAATCATCTGATGTTTTGGAGGTCGGTGTTTGCTCCGATCCGATTTTGTAATGTTTAAGAACTTTTGAGCTCGAATACTGTTCGTTATCTCAACAAATTGTAACCAAGCGAAACAAAATGCAAACTTCGTCTGTTATTTATCAAGATACACTTACATACCCAAAAAATCCTCTCAATATATACAAGTGCTTAGAAAAAAGTGCAGAAGAAAACCAAGTGGGACGGTACAGACTGACAGATAGACGAAGAGACAATCAGACGGATCGACGATGAGGATCTCCGGTTTTACCGGTAAAGAACAAAAAGTTTGAGACTAACTTAAATATTTATGTTTTATAAAAATTATTAACAATTTAGTGAGTTATTGAAGTAGATAAATATAGCAGTTTATAATGTAAGTTATTTGACAAGGCAATTTTATTGTGCTGTTCAGCCTATAAAAGTACAAGTGTCAGGTCATTTAATTAATGTAATTAATGTAGATTGAGATATTCGCCTCTAATGAAAAGAAACAAATTACAACGAGAAGTTAATTGTCTTCCGTCTTCTTTTTCAATTTCATCGACTATAATACTACGTTGACTGGGGAATTATTCATATTCTTTCAGCATCTAATAAAAAAACATTACCTGAACTATTTGCGGTATCGAATTATAATTCAAAATCAAATTTCACTTGTTAAACATGCAAAAGTCAATCATTTTAATTTGTAGCACCTGCAACTTTACGTGCAGCAGTATTGTCACATCCCAAGGTTATTGCCTTTTTTGATTGCGAGAAAATAGGACGGAAATAATAAACATATCTATTTCCAATTCATTTTAAAATATTTATGATAGAGGTGATATTAAAGCTAATTTTAGAGTCTTGAGAGATGCTTTAAAATCAAATATATTAATTTCTCTGTAAGTTCAGCAAATGCAGTGAACATCACAGAGAGAGCATTCTAAATAAGTATTCATCGCTATAGCTGTACACAAACAAGAAAGAGTTTTAAGAATTTTAATACTGTAATTTTATTCAACACAACTCAGCATGAAAAAAAATTGACAACCATCATTATGGGTATACGCAAATGTTCTGTGCACAACACAATATTTGAATCATTGAGATGATGACCATCTTAAAGGGCTCTGTTTTAACAAAGGACATTAAGACAAATTTGCTACAGACAACTAAAGTCGGACAGACAAACAGACCGACAGATTAAATCTGAAGGGTCAACAGCAGAGCGGGACTTACAGTATGGCGCTTCTCCTTGACATGTAAGATTAATGTAAATTCTGAATTAATTAAATATATATTGTTATGTATGTTTCAAAATACATATTTTGAAAACATTTTGGCAAATAATAAAACCACTTTCATTCCTAAGTTGGTATTAAAGATACATTCCTTCGAAAATACTGATTTGGAATGTTGGATTCAATCTCTCTCTCTCTCTCTCTCTCTCTCTCTCATATCACAATGGTGTTATCACAACGTCTTGTTCTATGTTTTTAGAATCAATTCTTCTTTTTTCTAACTTTCTACAAAGCGGTTCCAAAAACAATATGGTTCCACTCATTATAAGAGTTGATCCCATCACATAGAAGGAGGCATAGAAAGATCCCGATATGTCTCTCAGATAACCTGAAATAAATAAGCAAACACGTCCAATGTTAGCCCCTTGTATAAAACAATAAAAAAGTTTGTCCTTAAATTCTTTTTTCAGCAAGTTCTAACTTCATTCATGTCTCAGTGACAATTATTCAACTAACTTAGAAGTTGGAGAATGTGCTTTTTTAATAAAAAGTTTTTTTTTCAGATTTTTCAGATAAGTTATATGAGTCTTTCATTTAAAGAAACAGAATGTGCAACGTTTACGCACGACCTAAAACACAGTTGCGGCAAAAAAAGAAAAAAAATATATATACACGAATATGTTACCTAAAAGACTCAAGAGACCTTAAATTACAATTCAGAATTTACTTCTATCAAATGAAATCTTGTTCTAGATTTACCTAAAATTGGGTTCGAGATAGACAACCCTAGTCCTTGCATCATCATATTTATCGCCATTGCGCTGGAAAGATTGTCTATTCCTACAAAGTCTGCAATTACAGCTGGAAATAAACCGAAATACACGCTTCCAAAAAATCCAAATATTACGGATAGGAAACACATGGTCATGAAGTCTGTATAAAGTGAAATAAGCATACAAGATACACCGGTTATAATCAAGGACCCAGCCATCATGTGAGTTTTTGACATAAAGTTGTGATAAATAAAAATAGCAACAACAATCTTAGAAAAAAAGTTTGAAGCTCCTATCATGATCACTAGTATGGTTATTTTACTATCCAATATTCGAAGATCTTTAGCGTGTGGAGGTATAAAAATTGCAATCTGTACACATCCGATTATGGCGAGAAAACACACCGGAATCCACATTCGGAATAGCACATTTTTCAAAACTTGAATGTTTATCGATATCTTGCATATATTTTTAATTTTGATCTTATTTTTCGTATCAAGAAAAAATTGTTTTACAAGTGACATTTTTCTCTTGTTGCAATTTTCTTGGGAAAATATGGAATTCGAACACTTTTCTTTCGTCGTTTTCTGTCCAGAATTTGGTGTGTGATCACATTTACCATCACTGCCAGTTGTCCAAACTGTTTTGTTCGAATGAATTTCTTTTGAATTTACTGCCTTCCAAGTAATTCGGTCTTTATAGAATGCTATTGGTCTCATCAAAGCTCCCGCTACACACAAATTCAAAAGGAGGCCACCAATCACAACGAGTGCTCCTCTTAGTCCGTATGTATCCAGAAGAATTCTTATGACAGGCGGGAATATCAAACTTCCGAAGCTGACTCCCATATTTCCTAAGGTGGCAGCTAGACCCCTTTTCTTGTCAAAGTATCTCCCTAAAACTACTAGTGATGGTCCATAGGAAAATCCATAAGCGATACCTTAAAACATATATTTTTTGTTAAAAAATCAGTGTTAAATAATCATATTTTTGTTTAATTTATTATTATTTATGAAAAAGAGTTTTGAATTATGATATCGATAATATAATCAATTAACAATTTTTTAATATTCAACGAGTAATATTCCAATGATCTTGAATAAGAGATACAATCTGACATATCTATTTCGTATTTTTATATTCTACTAAAAAAAAAAAATTAAGGTGACCTTACAGCAAACCCTTATGATAAATGTGATGACTTTAACTTTTCTATTGTCAACTTCCCTCTTTTTATGAAATATACCTTTATCACTACATATGGATTTTATGTATCCTTTTTTAATCTATTCATAAGAGCATATTTTACGTACGAATGTCAAAAGTCGTGTTTAAAGTTACTATTTTGCAAGTTCTATGGTCGATACAATGATCATGACTGAGTCGATTGCTGACAGACGTTTTTCAAATATATTATTATCGTTTTATTTACACACTGAATTGTCAACGGAATTTTTCTTTATTTAGCACGAGGCGGGTGTGACCGGTCAGCAGGGGTTGCCTACTGCTTCATGGCACCTTATCCCAACTCTGATATTCAAATAAGTCCGTGTTTGCTCTGCTCCAAATTCTATGGTTTCAATGAATTTTTAAGCTCGCTTTCTGTTCGTAAACGCCATATATTTTCATATAAAAGTGAAATTTTCTGTAATATTTGCATATTGTTTGAGATTTAGGATAATAATATTGTCAATCCATATTTCAAGAAAATCCTTCTGTTAAAAAAAGTTGAAGTCATCCAAAAGAAAATTTGGAAAAGTGTAATACCGCAATTGATCTTCAAAAAAAAAAATAATAAAAATAAAAAAATAAGGAATACAAATAGGGAAAATCCAGATGTGGGATCAGGTGCCAAGGAGGAGTAAGCTTTCCAAAGATTTCATTATTGCTATTTGAATATAAAAAATACTAAAAAGAAAACTTCATGCTTATTTTGATCTTTTCTGGTTTGTTTCTCTCAGTGCATAAAAGGTAAGTGAACGTATGCCAAATTAGGGAACATATTGCTCTAATGATTTCTATCATTGTCGTGTACGTGATCAAAATGGCTAAAGCTTCCTATTCAAACTTCAAATTACTTTCTTGTCCTGTTTCCCTTTTTCTGACAAGCCAATATATAGATTTTAAAATAATGTAATGCTTAATGTTTGCTGTCAAAAATATCACACTGATTTCTATCATGAAAAATCAAAATTAGTCTAGGTTTTGCTAGTTTACGGTTCTTAGATTCTTAACAGGAGCCCCTTTTGTTTTCTAAACTCAAGTTTCTATTGCAATATCTCAATTTCACTGAAACTCTATCTTGCGTTAAGAGAAAGCAATTATGACAGATAAAAATAAATACACTCTATTTTTTTTCTGAGTCAGACATTAAAAGGTTGCTACATACCAAATATTACGCCATGAGATAATATAAGATAGGACATGTCTTTTATTATGGCACTGATGACGTATGCCAAGCAACCAAAGAGACCTCCAATTATAATATAAGTCCGATTGGATGCAAGACCAGTTCCGAAGTTCATTGCAAAGAGCGCTGCAAAGATAATCATGTATATGGTCTATGTTAGACATAATTAGAACAGATATAAACAATAGATAACGCTTAAACGACAGGCAAAATAGAATAATCATCCCATATAATATCTTTCTGATTGTGTCTATAATTACATAATTATGACATAATTGGCTTAAATTACTTAATAAAAAGATTGTGATTCATAAAGTACTCACAAGCAACACTAAATACTACGGTCTGTACCGACAGTGCTACGGTGATGCTGGAGGCAGATGCCTTATATTCACTCATAAACTCAGCAAAGAAAAGCCCGAAAGAGGAAGTACAGCCAATGACCAGGAACACAACAAGAAAGTTGGCTGAAGAGAACATTGGAATAAATTACATAATTACTGATTGCACTGCAACAACTTTTATGTAAATTCATTTTAATAAATCAATTAATTATGACTTTATTTTTGACCGTATCAAATATAGAAACTCACCAGCGAGAATCACCCATGCCCAACCTCTGTCTACTGGAACTCTTCTGCTTTCCTCCATTGTTTTCTTTCCTTTATGTATTCCACACAGTATATATTCTTTTAATAAACTAAAACATAAACAGCCAAATAAGCAAAACTTACTTGGTTAGAATACATAATGACACCAATACTATATACGCAATATAATGCGGTATGGGGAAACTGATGATAGCGAGAATCTTTTTTTTTTTTTAAATATCAGTTAAATTACCACATCAGACCAAAGCATTTATCATCTCTACTACAAACGATTTTTCAAGCATTATTAATAGATTTATTTTAACCTAAGGGCCTTATTTTGTTTTAAATAAGACTCAACTCCCTTTGCCGGAAATAATATGACATATTCTTTTAAATAACCATCAATATATATTTTTAGAAATATCATGACATTTTATTCTAATGACCAACGATTCATTAGTAAATATTTTCATAAGAACAGATTGCGTGTCAGTACTCAGTGTCTATTAGTGGGGCACAGAATTATTCTTTGACCTCACGTTCGATACCAGATTTTCAATTTTTTTATTTTAAACTTCAGGAAAAGTTCAAGACTTGCAAGTACACTAAGAATGGAGGTATACAAGGCGAGGAGAATTCCCCGCTCTGAAAAAAAAAAACATTTCTCAATTCTAAAAGTTCACGAAAAGTTACATTTTTCAAAAATTGTATTTTTTTTTATTGTCAGTATAATCTTTTACACATTTGCTCCTAAAACTTGAGAATGTTGACTTTAAACAAGATTGTTGCTAGCGTTGTTTCATCAACTTTTTTCACTAGTTTGCTTCGTTTTAGGAATTGTTTGAACTTAAAGCATGCTCTTGTGATCGAATCATCCGGGCGACATAAGCTCCATAAGCAAATGATAACAGTTTATCGCTTTATAAACGAAATGCGGAACGAAAAACGGAATGAACAGAAAATATGACTTTAGAATAAATCACTTAAAATCCACAAATTATATCAGAAACGATATATATCTAATACAATTTCTTTTCATATTTAACCCTTCATTGTTAACTGCATGTTCATTAAGTCAAATTCAGTCTTATTCAAGAAAATTCCTGACATAGACAAAGAATATTTATAGCGATTGGTAAAATTAGACAAAATATATACCTTACATGTAAAGGGTCACCAGCTTGGCGCAGTGATTAGAGCGTCTGCTCTAGAGTCACGGTGTAAGGAATTGACCCTTACGTTGCGGGTTCGAATCCCACTGTGGCACATGGAGACGGGTCTCTCGGATAAGACCGTATAAACCGCGCGAGGTTCCGTGTCACAGAAGGTGCTCACTCCTCAGTGTCCGGAAATGCCGAGTATATGACAAAGTTTGCGGTTTTACATTTTCGGTAACCAAAAAATGCCCCTATCGATAATACGTGCCTGATAATAAAGTATTAAATGAAACTTATGTGCTCTTAAATACTGAAACTGATGAACAATTCGGTTCATGTGAACCTGAAGCACATTTGCAGCTCTGTTCTGCAGCATGTTAAATAATAAAGAGGGTGTGTGTGTGTATAGAGCATTTATTACAAATGCCAAATGAGATTACAGATTTTACAATATCAGAATGCAGCAGAAGGTGGGGCCCAAATGAAACATATGGAGATAACGAACGGTATTCAAGCTCAAAAGTCTACAAAACAATACAAATTTAGAGCAGAGCAAACACGGACCTCTAAAACATCAGAAGTGGGATCAGGTGCCATGAAGGATTGAGCATTTAACAATGCCATCGATTATTGATTTTACATGCACATGTATTTGTGCTGATAAGCACTATCCGGTGGCTATATACCGCAGCAAGTCTTGGTCACAATGAATAATTGAATAAGCATTCCGGGAATGTTACATTGGTAATATTAGTCCCTTTCCGAAAAGTTTTATTGGTTCCTATTAAAAGTTCTGTAAAAAATCATTGATGCAGAACAAAATGCAAACTTGATCTATAACTCATTAAGGTGAACCCACATACCAAAAAATAACAATATCTGCACGAAAGCATTTAGAAATAAAAAGCGGAAAATCTTTTTAAAAAAATAAAATAAAATGACCATAATTGTATTAAACACCATTTAAGCCCGATTGCACACATAATTACGTAAATCTTTTCTGGATTGTGCCTTTAAAATCATAAAAATAAAGAAAAATTCAATAAAGAAACAATATCCACAAAGTTTCTGTTGAACAGAAGGTTAAAAGAAAAGTTAACATATCTAAAAGCATGATATAAATACAGATTTCTGAAAGTCTTAATGTCTATGATTCAAGATCTAGGTTGCCATAAGGGGACACAAATAAACTAATTTTCAACGCATTTCTCGAATTAAATTTCGAAAGTTTTCGACATTTCATTTCTTTCGAAGATAAAATTCGAAATTCCCTTTAAAATTAATTTCTATCATGATATCATTTTATTAAATATTTGATTTTAAATAAAATTCAAACTTACAAAATTTGGCCATGTTTTTATATTTAAGTGTTAGAGCAGTGAATCATGCAATTTAAAAAAAACAACAAACAATTCAAACAAAGAAGATTCCTGCAATTTTTTTTTAGCTAAAAATAAAACTTATAAGCAATATAAAAAAAAATTATATTTGAAGAATGAAACATATGGAGATAACAAACAGTATTCAAGATCAAAGGTTCATAAAACAATAGAAAATAGAAGCAGAGCAAACATGGACCTCCGAAACATCAGAGGCGGGATAAGGTGCCATGGAGGAGTGGGCATCACCTGCCGACCGGTCACACCGGCCGACTGTGCTCCTTGTCATGTTCGGCAAAATTATGGAAAAGCCCGTCGTCAATTCAGTGTATAAATTATGAAAAACGTCAGTCAGCATTTGACTCAATGATAAATTGTATAGGCTAAGATCATTGTATCGAAAAAAAACTTACAAAATGATGACTTTAAACGAAACAGCTGAAATTCTTGTTTTATCAACTTGTTTGTCAATAATTTATCTCGTTTTAGAAATTGGTATTACATAGAGCATGCTCTTGCGTATTAAATCAACTAAAATCAACTCCGTATGCAGGTGATGAAGGTACCAGGGTATATTGCTGCATAGGTAAAGGAAGTTGACGATAGAAAAGTTAAAGTCATCACGTTTATTATAGAACTTTGTTGTTGGATTACAATTAACGTCATTTTCAAGTAAAATATCCAAATATGAAACAGATGTGTCAGACTTTGTGGTATCTTTTATCTCAAGTTCACCAGGATATATCGTATCGACATAAGAATGGAAATTACCATTGTTAATTGACAGTACGTCGTCGATATATCTAAATGTCTAATTGAAGGCCACGGCAAATTTTTTCTTCTTTTCAGGCATAAGATTTTGCAAAAAAACTGCTTTATAGGAATACAAAAATAGGTCTGCTTATAACGGGGCGCAATTGGTACCCATGGGATTTCCAAAAGATTGTTGGAAGACCTGGAAGAATAACCTTTTGTCAAAATGAATAAGAGTCAAAGTATAAAAAGCTATTTCAGTTCTTGAAAAGTCGACCTTGAAAAGAAAATACATACCCGTTGCTAAGGGATATATTTTTAAATATTTTTCAGGAATTAAGAATCAAAGTTTATAAATATTCTTGTCTTTTCGGGGAAACCTTAATCGTCCTCTAGTCAATTTTTATTTGATTTTACTTTATGATTTCAAAGTTATTGATGATATTTTCAAGAAAAACCTAACCGTCTTCTAGTCATTTTATTATCTAATTTTACATTATAATTGCAAGTTATTGATGATATTTTCCACTATCATTAATCCGCTGATTAGGAAAACACGTTTGTTATTAACAATCATAATTGCCCTTTTATGCTTCTTTTGAAATAAATTTTGCTAGCTGTTCAGGAAGTAAAGCGTAGAACTACACACATTCACAATTTAGCATTTTCAGTTCTCATTCAGTCCTCTGTGAGTTCTATTTATATCTTTCAAAGTATTATCCCAATAAAATGTATTTTGATTTGCAATCAATCAATAAAGGCATGTAACCTTAACTGATATTTTCATAAACAGATACATGTATTAAGTTATTTGGAGATAGAGTCTAATATTAAAAATATTCATAAAAATAAAAAGTACTCACCCTTATGTAAAGTCAACGACTACTACGTCACGGTTTTCCTACTAATATACTTTATAGAGCTATGATATGCTCTTTAATTACCATGAATTGTACTGGAGTCTGTGTGATCGACATTAAGGAGATGTCAATCAGGACGTTTCTTTAAGGACAATTCATTTCTTCACTTTACAGATTGTATAACCAGTATATGCACCCTCATGCTCCGTTTAAAAGATAAAAAGAGTGCTTAAAAGGAAGGGCACCTTTTTGGTTTTCATAGGGTAAAAGGAGAAGGTTAATGTTTGTCAAATAGCTGGATTATTATTAGTTCACAATTCATATGTAAGTATTGTGCATTACGTTACGTATGTGCAAGAACAGCAACGCACCTGGGACATTTATTTCAAGACAAGACTGTTAAACAATGGATAAACTAACAAGTCAGTCAGAGAGAGAGAGAGAGAGAGAGGGTGTGTGTGTGAGAGAGAGAGGGTGTGTGTGTGTGTGTCTTTAAAGGGCATGCTGCAATATTTCGATAAACTTAGAAAAATTTAAGTGAAGGAAATTCAACGTCCAGGATCCATCTTGAATTATAAATTATATTATAAATTGTACATTTATGTAAGGCACACACACTTAGGTACAAATCGTTGTATACGATAGTTCACAAACTCTTCACTACATATATATGTGCACTGTGATAAAAAAAAAACTGCTTTAGTAATTATCTGGCGAGAACTAGACCTAATTACAGTTAGGATGAGTACCAATGTTTTATATGCCTTTTTATGATCATATGGATCTACATAATCTGATTTTTTTAAAAAATAATGAAGGATTTCCATCCCTAATGGGACCAAATTTTCTACCCTTAAATGTCCATCAAGTACACTCTGATATTAAATTAAAGCGTTCAATAGTAGAAAAGGATTGCCCGAGAAAAATTTTCTAAACTTTCACTAACTAAGTA